AATACATACATTTGTATTTAAGGCACGTCTAAATGAAATGCTTTCTGACACTCTGGGTATTTGTAAGTGTTGAATATGTAAATATGATATCCTCTGTTGTTTGTTTGTTTGTTGTTTTTATGTTTCATGTGGAACTAAATGATGAATAAAGGTTTGAAATTAAATTAAATGCACCGTCAGACGCGACCCGTGACTCTATGTCATGGTGAGCTCTTCATTTTGAATCTGCATATCTAATGGTCTTAATATCTGTTGTTAGCAAATCTGATTGCACACGCTCAAACACTGATGTGCTGCTCTCCAGTCGTAATAGTCTGACTTCAACAAGATAAGGGGGTAATGCAGTGTAACCAATAACTACTTTGATGTGTATATCAAGGCCAAACATCGCAGGACATGACCAATACAAAAAATAATGCTTTGTTAATGATGATTGCTGCCCTCCTTCATCAACCTCATGAATCATTCATACTCCTCCTGCCATGCACACATCTCTCACAACTTCTGACACTAAAGTTGAGCTGCATTTGACAGAGTTGAGAGAAATGTACTCACAATTAAACAAACATATTGTTTTAAATGGTCGGGTCGAATCAATATTTGTGCATATATTTCAAATGATTTGTATATATTTTTTTATGTAATTATTAGGTTTGAATAAAATTGGAAAGTCTTCTTCAGTTGAAAACGTTCAGAGGCAACTACAGGAAAACAAGGAAGTGCCAGCACCTTTAGCAAGGTCTGCCTTTCAGAACCAAATGATGGATGCAATAAATGCTTATCATTTGCAAGGTGGACCATGATTCCTGCAGTGCTTATATTTAAGTGCTTTTTGTCTCGAAACCCACTTCTGCGGAAAAAGAGGTAATTTTCTCTGCAAGAGACAATAACCTAAAGGGAGATGGAACGGATGGGGTCAAGCATTGGACTGATAAAGATGGCTATCAATGATGCATGTGGAAGGTTCCCAAAAGGACTTAGCATCAGAACAGATAAGAGGAGAAATGAGAGTTCCAGGAAGTTTCTGCAAATATTTTTGAATCAAGTTGCCATCTTATCTTCTTTGTCTCTCGCTAATACTCTGGATTGCTAGTTTAGAAGTTCAGGGTGGCAGGCTTATCAAACATTTTAGCCATTGAGTTGCAATAATGTTTTACAAGAGATAATACTGCTAAGTAAAATAGCCCTGACACATGCATCCAAAACAGGCAAGAGTTCATATGTAAACCCCTAACTGAAAGATATATTTTCACCAGTTGTAATCCTCACTGATTCACTACACATTACTTTGTTCTGCACTTTTAAATCAAGTTACAAGGTTGAGTTTTGGAGGTAAATGCAAACATACATCCAAACACAGAGAAAAAACGTTTACCCGTTTAGAACTCACTTTTCTCCCTGCAGCTTGTTGGTTTTTATGATGAGGTCTTGAGTTTGGTCCTTAGCAGCCTGTTGAAGAAAGGTTGCGTCACAATTGTTCTCAAAATGCATTTATTAAATCAGGCACACAAAGTAAAACAAATGTACTATACCTTTAACCTGTCGGTCATTTCTTCACAACATGTGCTCATGGCCTGGACATCCTCATGAACACTTTCAAGCTCCTATGGAGAACATGACGTTACAGTTGGTTACAACAGCACTGTTCATACATGAAGAGTCACACATATAGTTCTAATAAATATTGAGCAGTAGCATGTTTTAATTCAAGGTTTTTTCACAATATCCACGACAGTATTTAATCTTGTGATGATCCCTGCTGAAAAAATCTTCAAATTCAATTGAATTGAAACAATGTCTATCCCTGACATTTGAAATGCAAATAATACATGTAATATGCTGTTCATAACTACTAGCACAGCCGTTTTTGTCATTTACTCTAATAACATAACACCAGGGGCAGCATCTTTGGAAAAACAAAGTTCACTATTTAGAGATTAATTTACTCAATACCGTCCCCACGTGACCTTTTGTAATCCCACCTCAGTTCAAGAGAGACACTGCACAGGTGCTTTGTCTAGATGATTTGAGTTGACCTTGCTGTTTAAAGATAATAAACTGTATGGTATCGCAAAACTCTGAGTTACCTCTTTTACATCCTTAAATATTCGTGCAAACTCCTCGTTGATGGAAAGGCTTCTTCTCTCGATGTCACCGCGAAGATTTCTCCTGGTGCGCAAACTGTTCTCAGTGAAGAACACAGAGAGGGCCTTCAGAGCCTCCAGCATTTCCTGAAAGCACGAAATAATATGATAAGGTAAGGCAATTGGTTTGTTCTCAACCAATGTCTGATGAGGATCGGTTCCCCTTGCACTCAACTGCGGTGAAGTTACTTTGAGTTTGGCTATTCGACAGACAGCATGAATACATCATTTTTTGACACAAAGCCAATGTGATTTGCAATAACTCCGTGCAGACTTGTTCATGTGAAAAATGATGCTAAAATATTAATAATAAATGTGTCCTATCCTATGTGGCACACGTGTTTCTATTACAAATGTGCCATGAACTGAACTGAACTCTTGAAAAGGAGGACACACCTCTATTTATATACATATTTATTTGATATAAATATTTTAATAAGAAAATCATTAAAAAAAATATTCATCCATGTCAAATAGAAAAAACTATAAAAACTGTGTGTTCTACTTGTCGAGTGTAGTAACACATTATGATTTGCACTGACTTGGTCAAATGACAAGTAAGCTATTGAAGAAAATAAGGACTTTTCAATAATAAAATATTCATATTAAATTGAAAAGGCACTAAGATCCAATAAAAAGAGGTGTGTCTTATTTGTGCAGTGTAGAAATACAATGCTGCATTGACTTTGACATGTTAAACCTAAAAACTGCAGATACTTTCATTAAAATATTCATATTTAATAGAGAAAACACCAAATGTCACTGGTGGTCTGTCGTATTTATACAGTGTATTTATAACAAATCTGCATCCAGCTGGAGTCATTGGGTCAAATTAAATGGAAGCTATTGAACAAATCATACATTTGAATAGAAAAAAAAAGAAATTTCATTAAAATGTCATTAGATAGCAGGAGGACTAAAATACAATACTTTTCACAGTGTAGTTATAACATCTGATATATATTTTGATTCACTTGACATGAATGCTGTTGTAACTGAGATGATCTTCTAAGCAAATATTTGTGTAAAATCAGATCATGACAGTAATCAGAAATCAAAAAATGCTTTGACTTCTAAGACACGTGTATGTAATTGTTTTGCATAATTTGCACACACATGGGCAAGTAAGCATGGAATTATTGAAAATATAATTGGTTTTGTGTCAAACTGTCATTTATCTATGCGGTCACTCAGTGAAACTCTGTGGTTAAGAGAGAGTTCTCTTTTCACAATCTGTGAAACTGAGTCAGAAGTCACCGAAGTGGATGCATGTCATTCTTTCCTTCAACACCCAAATCCTCACCCCTGGAACTTAAAATATCCTCAAAAATCCTGTAAGGTTCTGTTTGTAAGGTTTTCTTCACCACCTCCTTTAACCTGACCCAGAAAGCAAGTGCTAGTTTCTCTTTTCTTAACTTCAGCTGCTTCTATTAGTACTGCATTAATATGGGTTGACTTAATAGCTCCTTTACACAAACGTAATGATTGTATTTGAGTGTATCCTCTTTAAGCTGGGATGTGTCTTTCTTCTGCTCCATAATCTAGTATTACCTGTTTATCTGGCCCATAGTCACATTGACCCAAATATCGTAAACGGTTTCATCTTCTTTATGTATTCTCCATGTATATTTGCTTAATATAGACCCAAAAGCAACATTGTGTGACTATCTTGCACGTCAAGCTAATGTTAGCTAGCTAGCAAGAAGCTAACCTCTTTCATCTTACCTTGTCATTGTCGAGCCTCGTCTCCAGGATTTTGTTAAGCTTCCTTGACAGCGGGTTATTTGTTTGAGAAGGCACATTTTGGTTTTGTATGACAGTGGAGCTATCAATCACATTTTCTACTTTAGCAGCAGCCATTGTAGACAAACAGCTCCACGTCAACTTTTGGAAAGATGTTTTGGTCCGTCTGGAATTAACGTCCGGTCGGCATGACGATCGTCGAGTAAGGATACAACGTTCCGCTGCGTGGTTTCTTTATTTTTGCTTAACTACTAAGGGAATATGTGTTAATAACGAACGTAAATAATAATGGTTCTGGTATATATAATGTTTCCTCGTATTTAAGATGTCTCACTTATTGAATAAGATATGTTAATTTGTTGTATCATTATTTAGATATGATTAAGTAGGCTAACACATCTGTATTACGTATTACGTAATATGTACTACGTACTACGTAATATGCTTTAAAAGCTGATGTAAAGGGGTCGGTTAAGAGCGTTATCAGTTGATGGGATGATATGCAAGTTAGATTCAACCTTTAAAAGATAAGAGAGACGAGCCCATCATTTAAATAGATCGCCGCATTAAAGCTGTCTACTTCCTCCCCTAATAACACACATAACACGCACACGCACACACACACACACACACACACACACACACACACACACACACACACACACACACACACACACACACACACGCACACACACTGTGTGTGATATGATATGATCACGATTCAATGTTACTGGGATTGAGAGCGCAAATAAAGAGCAATGCTGCGTTCATGTGCTGTTTGATGTTTTCCACTTGGACATTTTCACAGGAACACATTCAATATTTTTGAACCAGCTCTCCAACTTAACCCAACGTGAGAGTCTGGTGATGAATAAATTATTATATTATAAATATCAGTTTAAATATGGTCGAACATTTTTATTTATTTTTTAGATTAACTATTCAATGGCATGCAGTCAGATATCAGAAACATACTTGTTGTCATGCTTCTTGAGGACAACATTGCTTCAGCAAATTAATTTCATGAGAAAATAATTAGTTAAACGGTAGTGTAATAAACCTAAAAACACATTTGAACAGATTTTCCCAGGCAAAATAATGTACATGAGGCTGTTTTAGAAAACATTCAACTGTTAAATTCCAATACTTTCATCACAATTAATTTTCTTTCTAGTTAACTAGGACTCCATGAATGCATCAGGAGTATGCAGAAATGATAGTAGCGGTGAGTCCAGCCCCTGGGTGGGGATTGTGTGTGATTGATGGTCACCTCCCATGAGTGCTCCGTGGACTCGCCCCCTCTGCCTCTCAGAGCAGGAATGTGGAAACAGACTCCAGTCAGTCAGCGCCGCACGTTTCTGCACCGCGCAGGAGTGAATAATTGATCTTTGCCTCGGTTAAATATATTGATGAGGAGGAAGTGATTTGTGAACGGATTCTGCGGCCACTTTTCGGATTTACATTCTCAGGTCGAACGCATTTCTCGGTCTCTCTTCTTTTTTTCCCCCCTCGACTGAAGAAAAGTTTGCTTTGAGCCCTGAACACAGCTGGAGCCAGCCGATGGAAATATAAACTCTCAGTGTCTACCGAGCGCCCCTTATTCCGGAGCTCTCCGAACATGTAAGCTTTCTTCTTCCTTTCCCTTTTCTTTGCCTTATTTTCATGATTCACATTCCGACAGTGTGAGCACTGCGATAATACGGCGAGGTCACCCCTAACGAAAAATCACTATGTTCCTTTAGTGGTGGTCCTGCAGGGACTTCTAATGTGCCTCCTCAACCAGAAGTCCACTTTCCACTGCTTTTGTGCTACTTAATTTGGTATTTCATAGTCTATCAACATGCCGTAGGTTTATTCTGCTGTGATGTCTGTATAACATCCTGATATAGTTTATCATAGCCATCCTTTTTCTGTTTAGTGGAAGAAATAGAACTTCACAGTAGCCCCATCAGTTGTTCCAATAATAGCCTACCTGTTGGGATATAGTAGTTGTTATTATGCTTAACTGCTCTATTAAACGCTTTTAAGAAGTAAGTATAATGGGGAATAATAACAATTTCCCTCAGTGAGTTGGTAACATGAATTGATTTAGCTATCAGACTGTTTGATTGTGTTTGCTATTTTTATTGTTATGAAAACATTGATTAACTGTTATTTATTGAACTATGTGCAGTTTTGCTTAACTATTTATAGTTTAGGACAATGAGTACGTATCTATAACTGATAAGTACTGATACTCTTACTAATTGGGATTCCAACATGTCTGTGCTTAAGGCTGCACTTGTAGTTCCACTTTCACTTAAACACTGACTTTTCGAATCATTACAAAAGCTAAAAACTGGTTCCCGGATGACTTTTATTTGACTGTTTTTTCTTCTGCTCTTCCCCCTGACAGGGACCCGGAGTCACTGAGCAGGTGAAGGCTGCTGGTGTTAAATGCTCACTGCAAGGCTTCCCACAACACAGTGCCTGCTCATATAACTGCTGTTTATCCAGTGAATGTGTGTGAACTGTTGGCAGACTGTTTACCATGGCGTCTAGTCTGACATGTACGGGTGTTATCTGGACCCTGCTGTCCCTGCTGTGTGCCGCTGCCTCCTGCGTTGGTTTCTTCATGCCCTACTGGCTGCTGGGAACACAGATGGACAAGCCTGTGTCCTTTGGAACGTTTCGGCGCTGCTCCTACCCGGTGAGGGACGAGGAGAAGCAGGCCACGGTGATGCTGGAGCAGTGTGGCCGCTACGCCTCCTTCAATGGCATCCCCAGTCTGGAGTGGAGGATCTGCACAGTGGTGACGGGGGTGGGATGTGGCCTCCTCCTGCTGGTGGCCCTCACAGCTCTCATGGGATGCTGCATCTCTGACCTCATCTCACGTACAATTGGTCGCGTGGCTGGAGGCATCCAGTTTGTTGGAGGTGAGTTTAACATCCTGTTTGTGTTTGTACCTGCAATCAACAAAGACCCCCTGCTTTCACAATGGGGACGTGCACATGCCTCGATTACAATTATAAAGAGATCAAGCTTTGAGCTGTCATATCCCATGATGGTTTATTCCTTTCATTAGAAGACTACAGCTTTAAACTCCTTGGATAAATATGTTTTTAGAGAATTGGGGCGTTTTAATGGCTTAACTTCTCATCAAATTTGTTTCATGAAAAGAAGGGTTGTTTGTGAAACGAGATCACATTTGTGAAGAAACAAGGAGGCATAGAAATTTTGATAAGCATGACAATTTCACCCCTGGCCAACTTTTCTTTGCCAACAACAAACCTCGTGTCGGCCCAGAAAATATGTTGTTTCCTCAGACACTCGGCTCCATAAGAATTTAATAATGTCTCAGTGAGATGTTGGTCATGTTACCCAGTTAATGACGTCAGGTCAGTTTACATATCATATCTCATGACTGCGGTTGAAAAACAACACACACACACTTCTTCACCATTTTCACAGAGTACATCACCGATGGCTTTTGTCCAATTTCAGAAAGCTTGGATTGGGCACAGTTCTTGTAAATAAGATAAAGCATATAGTTTTTTATTTGTATTATTCCTTTCTTTGTTTTACTGTGACTTATATTGGCTGCAGATTGTTGGCATTTGATTCATATCCTTTGTTTTTAGTTTGACTGATGAAATGATGGACAAACATGTTGGAGTGATTTCCTGCTCTGGTTTTGATTTGAGTGCTCCCCTTAAAGTAGAGAAGAAACCCACGCCCTTTCTCTTCTTCTTTGCAAAAATAAAGGGCTGTGTCCAGCCACAACGCTGGCCACGGAAAGGTCTTTTTGTTTGTTTGTTTGTTTGTTTGATTAAAGTAAATGGACATGGCTCCATGGCACAGACTTGGTTTATTTGTACTCTTGGTTTTGTTCTCCCTGGACGTGAGGTCTGAGGGAAGGCTTCCACTGAAGCTGAACGTTTCTCTACCCCAGTTTAAGAAGCTGCGGCGCTCCAGCCCTCTATTTAACTCAAAGACGTTGGCCTGCATATTGTGGCTAACCACCCTGCTATTTACAATCCCCATCACTTCAGTTCGGCTTTAAAAAGTAATGTGACAGAGAAGCAGGTTGCAGGCAGATTTGACACAGCTGTCAAGTTTTTTTTCAGAGGGATAAATCAGAAGGAGCCACCAAAACGTGCCATGTCCTAGTTCTTTGCTGCTTAGGAACATCAGTATTAATGATGTATACTATGGAGGATGATGAAGGTGAAGGCTGGCTGGCTTATTCAAAAATGTGCACTTTTATGTAAGTAGAGCTCCTTTTAAGCTCATACATACAGTATTACAGCAAGCTGCTATTTTTGGTTATGGGATTAAAAAAAACCCTGTCTGTCTTTTCTTGCGATTTCTCTCTTTCGGGGACTCTCAAATCCAGACACGCATGAATCTAGATGGTGGGAGAGTGAAGGGAGGCGGGGTACAATATAAGGGGCACCCGCGCAGTTCTTTTTAACTTGAATACTGGTGAGCCAAAGGGCAGAGATGTCTCAGAAGGGCTAATTGGAAGTGACACAATTGGGAAGCTCACAGGGCTGCACTGTGTATTGTCTTCTATCACTTTTCAAAGAAATGATGAGGTGGGCAGGGTAAATTGGGAGAGAGAAGACAAAATACCTGACGATTGAAAGATTCTGCATTCACTTCTTATTAACCAAGAACCTTGCTGAGACAGATTGAGCCGCGGGGGAATACCAAAATGTGTACTGAGAGATATGATCAAATCTCAGCGATTAGCGGGGACAGTGAGTAAACGAGACACACATTAGTGAGGCAACACGTTTTCATTCACCAGATGCAAAAAGAGCCTCATGGTTCACTGTCTGATGCCAGTGTCTTCCTCCCTTTGTGTTCCCCTGCTCCCATTGTTGTACACTAATGAAGAGTGTCTTACCAGAGAGCCAAGGGCCTCTGGGCTGCAACAAGTAAAACAACCACTTTATATCTTCCTGTAATTTATCTCAATCCCGTGAAGTAGATTAGAGCTGAAAGGATTTAACAGTGCTTTATCTCATTAGCAGCAGCCCTGACTGAAAGAATACCTTTTAACTTTAACTACAGTTGTTGTTTACCTAATGTTGTTTTTTCTCCCAGAGTTCACTATGAGCAAGTTGTTCCAGAGCTAGTTAATTGCTTATGGCAAAGGCCCAGATTTCTCTACAGGCCACAGAGCTGAAGTCTGAGTATGAGACTATGAGACTGTTCTGGCTCATAAATCAAAGGCCTGAGCGCCTCGTGCTGCTTACATTAAACAACTGCCTGTGCGGTACTTTCTTGTCTGAGTTATGCAACGGTGCGGACTCGGTGCATCAGAACATTAACAGATTTTTGACTCGGATTTGGTTGTTAGGGATTTGATTCCNTTAAATGTGCGCAGTCTGTTACCTAAATTAGATTTTGTCCGTATTTGGGCGAGTTCAACTGATGCTGATGTCATTGTCTTATCAGAAACGTGGCTAGACTGTCTAGCCACGTTTCTGATAAGACAATGACATCAGCATCAGTTGAACTCGCCCAAATACGGACAAAATCTAATTTAGGTAACAGACTGCGCACATTTAAATGAATTAAACCTAACCCCGATCTAGAAATAAAATCAGCAGGAGTAGCTATTTGACTAAAACTACTAGGTGGACCCGGATTTGGCTGTACATTTCCTGATAGTAACAACAATAAAAATACCAAGCACCTTTTCCTCTTAATCAACACACATACATTGTCAGCTGTTCTAGAGTCACCAGCAAACTCCGCGAAAGTGAGATTAGAGTTCAAAAAACAATTCTGAAGGACCATTGTGGCAGGCATGTGAGAAAGACAGACATTTGACGAAATGAATGTCCGCGACAGTGCAACTAGCAATTGTTTGTGCAACCCATCCGAACCTGTACAGGGGATGTCCACTGCGGGCGGCAGAACAGACCCAAATCCAGCAGAATTTTCAGGATGACTAGCGGACCTCTCCTTGTCCAGCACAGTCAAAAAAAGGCACAGCAGAAACACGACATTTGCCATTTTCCCAGTCCAGCTCAACAGCATCCACGATGTCCCCGAAGCAAAACCACGTCAGGACAGCAGCAAGGAAATAGGCAAGCAGCAGTGTGGCAACACTCCGGTTTCTCCGCGGTATCTCCAGACCAGGCCTCCCCCGCACAGTAGCACCCAACAGGTGGGAGTAGGCCTCTAACAGCAGGTGGATAGCGGCCTTCAGCCGTATGAACCACCACCAGCAAAAGCAGAAATGGGTGGACGGCAGGCCCTCAAACCGCGGCAGATCCTCCGCATCTTGGGTTCTCGCCCTGCTGCCACTCATGGAATACCAATCCATTGTTTTTGGGTTGAAAGGCTGCCAATAAATCTAATCTAGGTGTCATTAACCTATGATTTGTTTTCCGGGCTGAGTGTTGACAGGAATGTGTAAATGAAACACCCGCTCCTGGGAGCCAATAGCTGAGTGTTGGGATGGGCTTCATTAGCATTTTGTGGCGGCTGTGACCTTAAGTGCTCAGTGACCTTGTGAGGTGACAGGGGCAAAGATAATGTAGATTTCTGGCAAAAGACACTGCCTACAGCTGTGATGTACCGAGGCAATTCCACGCTCCGCTGGCACAACGTTAGCATGGAATTGATAGATAGGTGACACAGGAGGGGGAGGGCTCTGAATCTGACAGAAAAAGCTGTTAGGATAAAGCCACCAACAAATAGTTGCATGGTTCTGTGAAGGCAGGTGGTCAGAGGTTTAACATTGCCCTTGCAGTCTCCTCCCTGCTTTGTCTCTTTCTTTGCACAGTGGTCCCATTGGGGCCTGCTGTCCGCCACCGTGACATTTTCATTCGCAGAACCACAATGACCCCCACAGCCAGATGGGATAGTGTCTGTACGCCGGGTTTTGACCTTGTCTTCGGCAATTTTGTCTCAGAAGAGCTGCCAGGGGAAGTGTGTGCAGTCAAGCTGTCCTCCTTCAGCCGTCCACCAGTCAGCCCGGCCACTCCAGTTTTCTCTGTCACATCTTTTTCAGGTCACACCATCCTCTGCAGCCCTATGCCATTGTCTTCTTTGCAGTTGACACTCATTTAGCAGTACTATCTCATAATGTGTGCTTATACAGTCATGTTCATAGCCCTACAGATGCTCCTGTTGTGTGTTTAGCTGGCATGGAGAGGCCTTTGCTGAACTGTTTGCTATCTTATCTTCCAGTGGCACTTTGTCATTTGTCAGCTCTAATGAAACGGAAAGGAGCAGCGCGTTGCTGACAGTGTACAGAAGCAAAGGTGGAAGAGGCTGGCCGATGGGAGGAGACGGCCTGTGTTTGTCTGCCAGCTGTCAGAGGTGCTGCTCTTTTGTTTTGTGCTGGTCCTGTTCAAATAGGCTGTCAGTAAGAGCACTAAAGAGGTGTTGCTAGTTGTTCCATAATGAAACGTAACACTACCCACCTGCCCTGCGCTGTGTGATCTTTGCATTAGCGTGACATGTTATCTGCGGAACATGTTGAAACGTGTCTCTAACGGATGTTTGTGTGGACCGCGTGACCTCACGAGCCGCCGCAGCTGAAGGGGTCGGTCTGCTAGTTTAATTCTTCAGCTATTACTGAATCACTCACAGCTACGGAAGGCCTACTGGGCTGCATGCCAAACAGTGATGTAGATACATGTATTAACCACAACTAAACTGCATTTGGCTTCAAGGCAGCCACTTGTTTCCAACAGTAATTCCTACAATTAAACACAAGATGAATTATCAGCCTCTGTTTCTATTTTTCAAAGAAAACGAAACAAATGCTCTCAGTATGACTTCTGTGTAAGTCATTACTTAATCCAGATCTCTGAAACACTTGATAGAACGATCAGGGATATCAAATGGTAAATGGCAACCTGTGTAAAATGACCCTTGAGCCTTATTAAGGCTCAGCTGGCTGTTAATGAGGGAATGGCTGTGAGTGTGACTTCGGGTTGTCTGATGTGCCTGTGATCATTGGTGCGTGGCTAACTAACAGCTTTGTGAATGCCAAATTTCCACGCATGCCTTTTTGAAGTGGCCCGTAATAGATTTTAATGGATAATCGACCCGCATGGTTTACGACTTATGAAAGGGTTGGACTTTCGCTTTTTAGATACAACAGTTGATCTCCTTGTCATGCGTTCTGTTTAATTTTCAGTCAGAAATGAGAAATGTCTTCTACATCTTTACATAGATATCAAATGTTTAAGTTAAAATAAATCAAAAATAAAGTTTTTTTCACTGCTGGAATCTCAGTGTTTATGTTCTTGGTGCTGCACCATCAGCTCTGTGAGGTTATTAAACAGGCATCGGTAATTTCAGTGTTTCAGTTTGATGAAGCTGTTTATGAGATTGTGCTGTGTTATATTGCCTAACCGATTTCTGTGCTTGAACACACAAAATCAATTGGCCTAGTTGAAGAATCTGCGCACACACACAACCCAGCACAAAATGAACTGACACACCAAACTTGTTTTCTTTCTATTATGTAACTTGGATCTTACTTCCCCTTGCACATGTTGTTGAAAAAAAGCATAAATATTCAGTTCATTCTTTGAAGCCCTAGCCTGGAGTCTCTACATACGTGATATTGCAGATTCACTCGAGTATGTTTCCTCTCCGTGGTATTTGGTAATTGCAGTCTGGAGAAGAATGTGTCATGTCCTAACAGCGCTGTAGAAACGATCCCGCTGCTCCTCTCTTCCTTTGCACTGCTCCCACAGCTCCCACAATCCCCCTCTCCTCACCTTTTACAGGCATGTGCACTGTGCAACCTTTTTCCTTGTTGTGATGGACTTCCTGGAGGAACAGGTCCATCAATCTCGGCCTCCTTGGTGTGAAGATGTTGCTCAGTTTGATACTTGAAAACTGATTTCTCTGCTGGTACTCCGAACCCCATGAAGTTCAACACATCCATAGGCAGAATAACAGAATATGCATGGGAAAGTATCAAAATGGAGTGTCATGTGTATCCTGGCCAAACTTATTGCCAATCACATTATTACTAAAAGATATTAAGAACTTACTTTCCGACTTATCTTTAAGTTTATCTATAAAAATGTCTTTAATACATCACCCGTCTATCAAAGCCTCTCACAAACACAACCTCATTTAAAGGCTTCCTTTAGTAGAAATACAAAATGTGGCTTAAATGATTCATGAATACAATTCCAAGCTATGGCATCTTAATGTGACATACGAAATGAGGCTTATAAAGCTTTTATGATTATTAGGATGATGGGATGGACAATCAATTTGATGTCCCATAAAACTGGTATGTGGGATCTTTTATCCTAGTTCCAATGTTGTATGGGTTTCTCTTCTTCTTTTCCCCTGCTGTAGACAATAACACAACAACCTTTCATGATATAAGTCCCTTGTTAGCAGCAGATTCCTTCTACAGAACAGATGATTCAATTAGATGTTGGTTGAAGCCAAAAGCCCAACATTTGCATATTAGTGATAATATCGCTTTTCTTGAGCCAACCGTAGCTTCCTCACAGTACAACAGTTTACAGCTAATATATTACTATTGCTCAAGTGTTGTGTGAAGAAAAGCATGTTCACATGCAAATGCTTTCTCTAGTATATGCATTAATTGAATGACTGGCCTCATTAGCATAACTTGTTAATTTTTTATATGTATCTCTTTAATTGTGATGAGATTCCAGGTGGCTGAGTGCCTTTTGTTTTAACTTGTTATCTCTCAGTGGCATGGTTTTCTTGAATTATGTTGTTTTTTTTAACGTGCGTTTGACAGTGACGGGTACCTTATAATACAAACTGTCATCTGTTACATTATTTAAAAAAAAAATTGACTAATAATAATACGTTTTGACAATGTCACAGTGAAAGCGTTCTGTCTGCATAACATTAACACATTATTGATAGAACTGTCACTACTCTTACCGTTTTTAATTATAATGCCAACTTGTTGTAATGATGTACAACTTTAAGGTATGATCCCCAAGTCTATATATGCATACAATTCAAGGCGGTGGCTCACCCAAACTGTCTTTGTGCGTTGCGACACATTTCAACATAGAAACACATAACGGGCAAAGATGCCTTAAAGTCCTGTGAGACTCGGCGAGCTGTGCACAGCAATACTAAATCATAGAATCCTGTAACAGATTTACAACCCTTTACTTTCAGCTCGGTGAGCACTGGTAATAGCTGTGTGCGAGACAATGGTTAGATAATGTTGGGTTCTTCTCCATCACCAAAACAACCCAGTGATTTACTGATGCAGCCTTGTTTTCTCAGACGTGGGCAGAGAATATAGACGAGGTGGTTTGGATGGATGGATGGGGACAGAGGGAGTACTCTCGCTGTTGTTCTGCTATCCTGTGACAGAGTTCCCTGTTTGACTAGGGCTGTTGCCATGGACACTATTGTGTTGAGACACTTATAGTGACACTGATAGTGATCACTCTGCTGTTATTGATAGGGACAAAACCTGGCCTGAATCTGGCTCTATTCTTTTTGTGTGTCTTGGCTCCCTCCGTTATTTATCTTCGGCACATGATATCTTTACTTTCCTGCCCTGTTGTCTCACTCTGAGTCCACTGTGAGCAAGAGGTGTGTGTGTGTTTGTGTAACATGACTGCCCTCTGCTGTAAGACTTCAAACATTACAGCTTGTTGATGTTTTGCTTTTCTTTCTTTTTTGTATTAAAAGCATAAAGCTATGATGCTAAGTTAGTGTGCATGTAAATGGTCTGCAAAGTCTTAATGGACTACTTGTTTACTTCCGTAACATATTGACGTCACTATGTAAAACTGGAGATTCTATTGGCTAGTTCTCCAACACATTGGACATAATCTTCTAAGATGGGGGTTCATTTTTAAGCAGTTGACCAATCACAACAGAGTCGGCCAGCTAACCAATCAGAGCAGACTGGGCTCTGGTTTCAGACAGAGGGTGAAAAGAGGTGCTGCAGCACAGGCAGTATGAGAAAAATAAGCATTTTTTGAACATTAAAGCATGTAAACAAGTCACAGTAGAGGCACAAATTACAATTATAAACCTGAACATTAGCATAATAGGGCCACTTTAGGCATACAACTTTGTTCCAGTTTTCCACGCTAACGGGTATTTTCCTTTTAAAGTGGACCGATCATGTTTTATTTGAATAGTATATTGTAGGGCCATACCTATATAAAACATGTCTGCAAAGTTTTTTTTTCAAAATACCAAACAGATCATGCATTTTAGCCATGCCTCATTTCGCTCAATTTGCTCTTTTTTAGCCCTGTTTTTGCAAGGGCTGAATCTGAGAAGTCTTCTTCGCTGTGTTTGTGGCAGACTACAGCGCCACCTACAGGCCTGACATATGTACTACAGCGTCTCCAGCGCTTTCGAGCGGCAATGGCCGTGGCTGTCTCCTCCTGATAGGTGGAGAGTTGCCCATATTGGCGGAGCTCCTCGTTTCTGACGTCAGAGATATTTCAAATCTGGATCAGTCTGTATCAGATCCGTTGCAGCCCCGTTTTTTAGAGATTTGGGTATGGAGGAAAAGAGAGAGGGTTGTCTTTTCTGACACTTGGTGAGTTCCCTGACACACCGGGGACACATTCATGTATAAAAGACGTACAAAAGTGCATTTTGCATGATAGGTCCCCTTTAAACATTAGGAAAAGACAAAAAAGGGATAGAATTCAATGAAAAAAGATGGAAGAGAAAACCTTGTCATTTTGGGAGATAAAAACAGACAAAACTAATCATGATGACAAGCAAGGCCCAACTGAACAGAACAGAAACAATGAAACCATATGAAAAATCTCTCTCTATAGAGATATTAAACTACAAAAATGACAAGTGAATGAATTTCCAATATTTATTTGCCCTCAGTCATCGCCTGGAGGTGAGAGCTCAGGTTGCCCAGGCTTTCCTTGCCAAGTTCCAGCTGTCCAATGAGGAGATGGCCGCGCTGCGAGGGGCTCGGGATGCACCCGTCACTGAGGTAATTCACGTTATAATGTATACCAAGTGATTAAATAATCTTTTGGGATGGGAGGATGCAATGTGTTTCTGATCTGGAACTGTCTTTTCCCTTTTCTTTTTTAGCTTGAGAGGCTAAGTTAATTGGCTCCTCTAGTTCATGGGTTCTTTACATTTTGTAACTTAAGACCTATTTAAAATTTGCTGGCTTTGTAAATTACCAAAATATTTCATTTTGGGTTATACTTAACCATTTGGCAGTACCAATGCAGCCCACTTGATGGCACTCCAAGGCCAGTCGAGTCCAATGGTTGAGAATAGTTTGATCTTCCTTCCCTGGGAACCTCTTTATTATATTTATCAATATAACATGATGAGTTACAAATGCTATCCTTGGTCTCACCACAAAACATTTTGACAATTTTGTTGGGTTTGCAAAAAAAATGTTTATTTACTTCTGCAAATCTACAACCCTTTATTGCTGGCTAAAATATTCATGTGTTTAATTTCCTAGGATTACTTCAAAGCCCTCAGCCGAGTGAAGCACATCCACGAGGACGTGAAAATCCTCTTGAGAACCAACCAGCAGACTGCAGGGTGAGGTGCACGTCTCACTCCATAATGTCGCTCTGTGGTCTCATTCTGTTAGAGGAAGTGGCTCACAGTGTCTTTTACACCGATTCTTGTTCAATTCATTGGCAACCTGAATGTTGGAACAGATGAGCGGAAAAAAAACAACTGGGTTGGGTATTTATGTCACTGCAGCTTATGGGTATGTAATATGTGGTCTTGCTGTGTGTGCTTGTTCCAGGTTAGAGATCATGGAGCAGATGGCCGTGTTACAGGAGACATCCTATGAGCAGCTCTACCGCTGGGCTCAGAGTGAGTACACCAAGCAGAGTTAATAACACCAGCTCACCGAGTCACTCTGACCTTCCATACTCACCTTGGACCTGACGAATAAGCAAGTGCATTTTGAAAATAATAAGGACGTTTCCAACCGGAATAATTGATTTGCTTCTATTTTGGTCTTAGGTTGTGTTCTTTTTCTTTAACTGTTTGATGATTCGTTATTGGTTTTTCTTTTGTCATTTGAAAAGAGATGGATACAAAATGTTTCTGTTTTCAGTAAAATTGAGTCATTTGAGGACACATGTGACTCATAACCTCTTTGCCAAATTCTACCAGAAACCAACATTTCCCTTAACTTAGCCATGTGTTCTTTCATTGAAATAAATATGGAGTATGAACCATTTAGATTGTAAAAATCGGGCCTATAGTGAATTAAGAGTTGCTCTGAAATACTTAATTGTAATTCAGGTTTACTAAAAGACAACAAAGAAGAAAATGTGTCAAGTAAAAGTTTTGGTAATGATCAAATTAAAGAACCGAATGTTATTATGTTATTCCATATTTCTTTGACTGTAGTAGAGGTATGTTTATTTTGTAATGAGGTTATATTTTAATATGCTTTTGTCAGAGTGAATTAAGAGGCCGTTAACATGGGGTGAGCGTTTGACCCATATTTCCTACTGTCTGGTATATTGGCCACTGCCTGTTCATTGTTTGTATTGTCTCATTCACAAGTAAACTGACTAGTGTGACTAGAATAGCCCATGGGAAAAAAGATGAAACACTTTCTTGTTTCTTTGATTTGCTTCCTATCAATGGGGCTACTTTTGTCCAAACCATTAAGCAACACTGAATGGAGCACACAAACACAAGAAGATTTACCAGAGAAACTGCAGCTACTTGTCTTGTGTTTTTTTCTTTCTCCAAAGATGAATGCAGAGGACTGACCCAAGAGTCCTGTGATATCAGCCCTGTGTTGTCTCAAGCCATGGAAGCATTACAAGACCGACCTGTCCTCTATAAGTAAGATACAAACTCACAATGCATGTTGTGTCGCCTGACACTTATTTTTACCTTTCTCTAAATGTCAGTGTTTATGCATCTTCTAAGACAGTGGTTCCCAACCTGGGGGGCGCCAGGCCTCTGATGATTTGAGGCCAAATATCATATTTAGACTTTTATTTTATTTTTTTTGATATAATT